TATGTGAGGTGGAAAGCCCCAATTTTTAATTGCCTGTTATGATCAGTCCATGAGTCTTCAAAGATGAAAATGTTTCTTTTCTCTTTACCTTTCGAACTATCTATTTCCAATAGAAAACTGTAAAGGTTACTAATAAAATTCAACTAAAGGAAGATTTTCACCTTTAGGGTCAAAACTAAGAATAATTCAAAGCTAAGTCGGAAACAAGGTTCCAATATTTAACTTTAAGCAAAGAGTTTTGAAGAAAAATAACAGAGAGAGGGAAAGGGCTTAATCCAGCTCTTTTCCAGATCTGAGGTAAATTTTTACAGAAATACAGAGCTGCCATCTAGAGACCAAGAAAGAAAATGCAAGTTTGCTTTCCAGAAAGAAAAAAAAATGCCTTTTTAAAAGTAGTAAAGCACTAAAATTAACACAATTTAGCATATCAAAGTTATAGTAAAACCTCAGACACTAGAGGAACAGGTCTGCTACAACATCTTCATGCCTCCGTAATATATCTTGATATTTGGATCAACAAATTTTATTTTAGAATGAATAGAATACCTATCCAAATGAATTTCTGATTTCACCCATCTGATGGTTTTGGAATAAGACAATACTAAATAACCACATGTCTATCAGAATATAATTTTTCTTATGGTAGAATATAAAATAAAATTTCTATGCTTAACCCTTAGCTTAACCCTTTATTAATTACACTCAGCTCCTATTTAAAGAACAAACAAAAAAACCCTCTTCTTTAGAAGCAAAGAATGAATTATAATAACTATATGTTTCAAAGAATAACTGTCAGAATTACACAGGTAATACAATAAAAGCATAACTCATGATAGGTTGTTAATTCTAGTTCTTTGTATCCCCATTATACGAGTTACTTTAAATTTTAAATATACCCGTGCCATTAAAAAAATTTACAACAAAAAAGTCAATGGTTTCGAAGTAAATGATACCATTATTGATTGTTTAGCCTCAATTGCTTTCAAATATGTTTCCTCTCACTTAATGTATTGTACTTCCTGGCTTCTAGACACTTGTCAACAGGAAAAGAGTAGGAAAATTAACTCAGGCTATTAGGGATTGAGGTGCTAGCTTTTCTTTTATTATTATATTTTAAGTATCTCTACAAAGGTGTTTCCATTTAACAAAACAATTAATGAATACAATATATCTTGATCAATGTCACCCCTTTCCACATTCTCACCTGTCCTTCCCCTATTCAGCCCTTTCTTCAGTCTTCATAATTTTGCATTGTTGTCTGCATTTTCCCCTCATCTTCTCTTCATTCATCTATCCCTTTCCCCTGGTCTCTACCCCACCCCTTTGAGTACCAGCTTCCTGGTGTTTTATTTTGCTGAACTTTGATTTTGGCTTTTTAAAGAATTACATTATTTGAGATCTCCCTTGAATCTCCCATATTTCAGTTAATACAGTTGTATTCATTTGCATACCACATAACGTATTTACTTATGAGTTAATAAGGTAAATCTAGGTTCTACGTATAAGGCAAAAGAAGCATCCTTTGTCACACTGGGTCCAACTTATTTCACGTAACCTAATTTTTCCATCATCTTTCCATTTCCTTAGAGATGGTGCAATATCATTCTTAACAAATCTCTGAGCCTACTATGTTTTCTGCTTATTGCAATATATTTTGCCATGTTCCATAGCTGAAGAAAAACAGATCACTGTATACATTTACATGAGTGTGTATCTTAATATACTGTAATAGTAATATAGAGAACAAGGTTGGAAACCTATTCTCATTGTCATCATTACAAAATATTTCTTATTTGGATTCGCTTTGGCACTAAGTACATTTTTTTAAAAAAAAGGAGTTCAGTTACCTATGACCTGGATATAGAATTTAGAAAAATATAATTATATATTCTTTCAGATAAAAATTTAGACATGCTTAAGAAAATCAAAACTAAAAAGTAGCTAGGAAATTTTTTTAATCACATAATACTTAAGAATATCTCTGAAGTTATATACAAAACCCAGGATACCAAAATCAAATACAGTGACAACAGGCAATAAACCATAGGAAAAAGAACAGAAAAGAAAACACACAAAAGAAAAAAGAAATCACATAGTACATTAAAAACTACAACAACAAAGAAAAACCTCTTGTGTCCATGTCTTTGAGTTCATTTCACTTAGCATCATCTTATACGGTCAGATGTACATAGCTATTGAGCTATTGTGTTCATCTGTTAGGACCATCCTAGACATATACTAATTATTACAAATGAGGGAAACTATGGTATCTATGTTTCTTTGTGTCTGGCTTACTTCACTTAATAAGATTTTTCCAAGTCTTTCCATTTCCTTACAAATGGGGCAATGCCATTCTTTCTGATGGAAGCATAGAATAACATTGTGTGTGTGTGTGTGTGTGTGTGTGTGTGTGTGTGTGTGTGTGTGTGTGTGAGTGCACACACATCACATCATGTTTTCTTGATTCATCTGCTGACGGGAAAATAGTAACCCAACTAGTACATTTTTTTTGGGGGGGGGTCCGGTTGTGGGGCCTGAACTCTGGGCCTGGGCACTGTCCCTCGGCTCTTCAGCTCAAGGCTAGCGCTCTACCACTTGAGCCACAGCGCCACTTCTGGCTTTTTTCTTTTTGCTATGTGGTGCTGAGGAATTGAACCCAGGGCCTCATCCATACAAGGCAAGCGCTCTACCGCTGAGCCACCTTCCCAGCCCCCATCTAGTACTTTTTAGCTAGTGTTTTACCCATATTTGTCCTCTAGGGAGAGCATAGCTTTCATACATGAAAGGTGTACCAGTTGGTTCTTTGAAGAGTTATTAAAGATCATGAATTACTTTTCTTCTTTTTATCATCTTTTTATTTATTTTTATTGTAAAGGTGATGTACAGAGGGGTTACAGTTACATAAATCAGGTAATGAGTGCATTTCCTTTTGATCAATTTCACTTCTTCCCTTTTTTCCCTCAGTATTTCCCTCCTGATACCTTTCCCCCCATTTATATACTTCATTTTCAACATAGTGTTTAGTAGGTATCACGGCTTCATTTGTTCATCCTTTCTCCAACCATTTCTGTGTCCCTTTTGCCCTCCCCTAAACAGATACATTTACATACAAACAGAAGACATACAGACAAAAGGCACAGAAATCAAAAACAGCAGCAAAGGAGAAAAAGAAAAAAATCAAAATAATAAAAAAACTAATTTCCATTTATTGGAGTTCATTTCCATAAATATCATTTTAAGCGATCATATGCATATAGCTATGGAGCCTTTGTGATCCTCTCCTAAGAATATCCTCCTCTTGTCTCACTGTGAGAATGTTTAGAGTGCTGTTTAATTTATCATGTCCAAGTGTATTTTTTTTGTCTTTTACCATCCATTGTGTTTATTTGTAGATTTATAGGCACATTGTGATTACTACAAATGAGGGAAACAACACAACATTGAAATTCCACTTCACCTCAGATAGAGTGGCTATTATTAAGAAAAATAACATAGATGCTGACAGGGATGTGGCAAAAAAGGCCACACTGATAGTGGGAATGTACAAATGAATCACGAAAATGTAGCATATATGTACCATGGAATTCTATGCTTCCATCAGAAATAATGACATTGCTCCATTTGTAAGGAAATTTGAGGACTTGGAAAAATTACATTAACTGAAGCAAGCCAGACCCAAAGAAACATAGGTTGCATGAATTCTTTAATTCCACAGAGATTACTTTGTCAGAGATATTCTGCATATATCACCACACACTATCTCAGAAACAGCAATAAACAATAAAAATAGACAATAAAAATAGAATAAATCTTAATTTGGATTGTTAATATAGTGTTAAAGTACTTTCAAAAGAATAAATGAGCTTAAAAAACAAACAAGTGATTTTATATTCAATGAACTAATGCTATCTACTATTAATGTTCCATGTACATATTTTACTTTTTGCTAATTTTATACTAAGTCCAGTTAAATACAAAAAAAATACATGAAATTTGACTTCTTTAGTAACACGAGGAGAAAACAGCTCTGTAGAAATTAAACAGACACTAAGTAAATTTTCATCCAACAAAGCAAGTTGAGAACTTTAGCGGCTCGTTGATACAATGGTTGCTTATCATGAACAAGTGTATTAATTGAAACACATGGTATATTAAAGGTAGAACTCAATAGTACAATTCCTTAGAAAGGCAAACGAAAATTCAAGGAAATAAGCACCAGGAAGCAGGTACTTGAAAGGGGTGGGGTGGGGTTACAGGGAAAGGGGAAATCACATGCAAAGGAGAAGACAAATGAAAAGGAGAAGAAGGGGAGAATGTAGTCAAGAATCATAGATAGATAGACAGACAGAGATAGATAGATAGATAGATAGATAGATAGATAGATAGATAGATAGATAGATAGATAGATAGATATCCTACAAAATTAATAAGAGTGAGAGAAGGGGTAAATATGAGGAAGGATGGGTGAGAATGTTGGAAAGGGTGACATTGATCAACATAAACAGATGTATTCATAAACTGCTTTGTTAAATAGTCTGCTTAAAGAAAATTTTTTAAATTTAAAAATGAAACTTTTTTAAAAGCCCAGGTTTCTTCCATGGTGTGTAAAAAGGTATCATTTGATCTTATAGAAGCTATGACTTTTTTTGGTAAGAATATTGTTATGACTATTCGCAAATGCCAGGCATACATCCACATAGATGTCTCCCATTGTGGCCAGAGCTCCCTGCTGAAACATTTCCATTACGTTTAACTCAGGCTGGACAATGAATAACGTAGCTTCTGAAAAGCAGAAAGCTGGCTCGTTTGAAGGCTAGAGTTATTTGTAAACTCTAAATGGGAGAACACGTCCCTTTCTGTCTATGCAGCCTCTTTTGCAGCTTAGGGAAACAAGGTAGCCTAGTCAGCAGGAGAGATAGGAAGTTCAATCATAGAGCCTGTCTCAGTTTTAAGACAAATATGAGAAATGGAGATTTGACATTCTAAGAAGTTCTTCTTACCTGCTGGACAGCATTTGAACCGTTTTTTGGACTTTCCAAAACTGCAGACTGAGTCTCTGGATTGGAAAGGAAGCAGATAATCAATATCTTAAATAAAATTTCCCATCTCTTCAGCCAAGAGAATGTATCTTTAACCATAAGCATTGCAAATATCTACTCTTTTCACTGATCCATTAATATGGCTAAAATAGGGGTAGTTTTGAGTATATAACAAATAATGACCAACACATTTCGACATCTGTGTGTGTGTGTGTATGTGTGTGTGTGTGTGTTCATTCTGGGGAATGAACTTAGAGCTTAAGAAATATCCCTGACCTGTTTTGCTCAGGGACAATGCTCTACTACTTGAGCCACAGCTCTCCTTACAGCTTTTTTGGTATTTAATTGGAAATAAGAGCCCCATGGGCTTTCTTACCAGGGCTGGCTTTGAATCATAATCCTCAAATCTCAGCCTCCTGAGTAGCTAAAATTATAGGTGTGAGCCACTGATATAACCCTCCTGAGTAGCTAGGATTACAGGCATGTAATTCTGGTGCCTGGCCATTATAGCTTTTAAAGCCTAGAATAACACTACATCCTCTCTGCACATCTATCATACTTGCTTTCTGATACATTTATATTAGAATGACCTTGCTAAATATATACATGACCAAGCTGGCAAAAGTACAGTATATGCAGGAATAAAATTCCATGGTGTCAACACTTTAAACAATTAACAGCAATTAAACAATGAGTATCAGGAAGCTGAAACATGTTTCAAATGGAAGTGGGACTAGTGGAGAGGATGAATGAAAAAAGAAACAGTGGATGAATATAGTTGTAGTACTCAACGTATGTATATGAAAAAATGAAGTGGGAAACTAGCTGGTCGGGGAAGAGATAGTTGGGAAGAGGAGAATTATGGAAGAGGTGACTCTGATCAAGATATAGTGTATAAATAAATGAACATATGAAGCTGGAAATCCCTGCAGAACCACTCAACAGAAACAATTTTTAAAGAAAGTCCATGCCAAGATTTACACTTATTATATTAACTTAGCTAATGTTTGTACATGGTGAAAACTATACCAGTCTTGAACACTTACATTTCAAATACCTTAATTAACTACCCAATGTTATCTTCAGATTTTGATAATAAATAATGAATACTGGTCACCAGGAGGCACTGAGTAATTCAGCATTCTGAATGAATTTTGTATATTTCATGTTTTTGTCATTTGCTAGAAAACGTAAGGGATAAGCAAGTCAAGAATCTTTCATTTAAGCTTGAGGGCACTGGCCCTTTCTTCGAAGCAAAGCTTACATGCACATAGCAACATATAAAAACAAAAATAAGAAGGCCTGCAGGAATCCTCAATGCTCCCTGGATCAGATTCTGAAAATTATTAATGTCATCTATCCTCTGCATAGAGAAAAGCCCAAGGCCAGAATGCAAACAAACTTCCAGACCCTCATGGGAATAAAACAAGTGTAGATTACTGGAACAATGTAATTAGAATAGAATATTAACTGGAAAGATTGGCAGTTGAATATTTTAGTCCCCTACACCCATGTTCTCACTATCCTTCAATCTTATGCAATAATTATCTAAACAATTCATTCTCCCTTCCCTATTCCCATTATTTCAAACTCTTTCTTTCCTTGAATATCTATATTTAACCATTTAAGATAAATCTATATCTTAAAATACCCTCATTAAACTCGCCAGCTACAATGTAGGAATCTAGAGGGTCAAGTTATTTTTTTGTTGTTGTGTTTTGTAGGGATTTTGTTGCATATTTATTTGCTATTATCTCTATAAATTGTATGAAGGGGTTTCAATCAACTTGTCAGTTTATGAGAATAATACATCTTGATCAATGCTTTCAAAGTGAAAATAATATATGAACTAATAATTGCCACATAAAGGAAAAATGAATAAGAACAAACTAAGAACCAGAGAAGAGTAAATATAAAAGAAAAAGAAATTGCAGAAAATAAAAGAGAAAGAGGTAGAAATCAAGTGAAAGAAATGACAGAAGTGGCATGTAATTGTTAGAGAGAAGATGGCATTCTGGAATTCTCTTGGTCCAGAGAAACAAGTCAAGATTCAGCGGGATTTCAGAATTGAGCTCATTTCTACCCTTCACTGAGTTTCCTCCCATAGTTGTTACCAAGTTTCCTGCATCCATCCAGCACTCGAGGGACCTTCTCAGAATTGCCTTAAACCCAGTTCGTTGACTGGCAGACAGTCTCAGTAAACACTCACTAACTAGAATGCTTCCTTTAAAGAGAAACAGGATGAGAGAGCTCTCCAAGGTACTTTGAAAACTCCACCTCCTTCATCACCCTTCTGAAATATTTACAATATAGATTTTTTGTTGTTTCATTTTTTAAATCCTTATGAAGCAAAGAGAGGGGATGAATATTACTGATAAAACTGCAAATGCTCTATCATTTTGCCTAGTACAGCTCTGAACATAACCTAAAAGCCTGGTATCCCTATAATTCCAATTTGTAGGGGCTGTTGCTTCATTTGTGGTGGGTGTTTTATTTTCAAATGAAGATCTCCATTCATTTCTTTAAATATTGAATTGCATATTTTGAACACAATAAAATACTGGAGTCAACAAGAAGGAGTGCATATAAGCAGGTTAAGTTATGATATGAAAAAAATCATTCAAATGACATATATGAATAAAAGGTCACAAGACACTAGAAACGAAGACACTACTGTGGATTTGTGAGTGCAGGTGTCATATAAGTTTGTGTGGATAGCAAGAGAGACCACAGACAGAAAACATCACAAGTGAAAGGCTGTGAAGCATTTTATAAAGGTCAGTTTATACCGCTAAGGCCTATCCATGAAGACACTACTGACTTCTCAGGGATCCAGAAGAGAAGCTCAGGAACCTGAGGGCATTCTACAGCTCACAGGAAAGGAGAGGTAGCAATATTTCACCCTGGCCTCACAGAGATTCCTTTTAAGTTCATAGGAGAAAAAAAAAGGTCATCTGTTTGGTCAGTGTATAAAGGTGAAGAAAGAAAAAAAAAGAAACTATTACAGGACGGATAAAGGAAACACAAAAGTGGAATACATAAAAGGGACTGAAGAAGAGCTGGGAAGGTAGCTCAGTGGTAGAGTGCTTGTCTTGCATGCATGAGGCCCTGGGTTCGATTCCTCAGCACCACATAAGCAGGAAAAGTCGGAAGTGGCGCTGTGGCTCAAGTGGTAGAGTACTAGCCTTGAACTGAAGAGCTGAGGGATAGCACCCAGAGTTCAGGCCCCACAACTGACAAAAAAGGGGAGGACTGAAGAAGCAGTATGACAAGTATGAAATAGCTGGACGTATGAATTAGTAACCACTTATTCTGAAGAGTTTCAAGAATCTATAATGTTAATATATAATGAAAGCTCTTGATTTTCTGAGAGAGGCTTTAAGTCTGACTTCTTCAAAAGGGGAAAAAAACCATTGAGCTCTTTTATTTTGAATTAAATTGAAAGCAGACACACCTTGTACTTAGTTATATTAATAATGACATCACGGCTCAGTAATGTGTGCCCTCAATTATGTATATGCAAATAGTTTACTATTGATAGCTACATTACAACTGCTCATAATAAAAATAAAACATCAGGCTCTAGGCAAGCCTTTCTGTAGTGCTGACAGTCTCTCGCAGGTGACAGTTGACTAGCAGAAAGGAAGTGGTATGACAGCTTGTGAAGGAGAATGACCCACGGGACTGTGTCTCCGAATGAATGGCATGGAATTACATGTCATTAGTTCATTTTGAACAAACGTATGTTCTATGGCTATTGATATTCGATTGGAGGAAAGTAAGTTGCTAAATAAAATTACTTTCTACTTACCACCAACATCCTCTTCAAGAATGCATATTTTATAAAAGAAAAGGTTTTATATTAAAATTACTTGCTCTAGTATTCTGCAAGCTATGTTAAACAATTTAGAGCAAACTAGTATCAAGTCCTAGTATCAAGTCCAATTATTATACTCAAGCTACAGCTAGATAACAACTTTCAGTCAGCTCTCAATCAAGTACCCCTTCTGTATACATACTCAGTAAGATTAAACATTACATAATTTTTAATTGCTCTAAAAAGTAGAGTAAACACAACATCAAGGTATTACCCTACTCAGTGAACAAATAAAGAAAAACAAATTTCTCAAAGGGCTTTCAATAAAATATAAACCCAGGAATTTTTAAGCAAATTTTTTTCCTAACAAGAGAAATAAAAATAGTATATATAAAAGAGATGGATAATTTTAGTGTAGTTTTCCTTTTAAAACTAAAATTACTTTTTATTTCAAAGTGGTCTCATATTAGAACTCTCATATCTGAAGACCTCTCTGTTTCAATGTACTCTACTACACTCCGTGTACTCCGCTTAACATTTAAAAAGGGACATTCAGGGTGGAATGCACTGGTGGAAGAGAGAAGGAAATATTTCTACCCAAAAGTGCATGAATGCAGAACAGTGAGTTCCCTTTGCAAGACTTTGGCCAATGGCCTGGAATACCTAGATTACTGTTGATTTTAAATACGACCACTGTACAAAAAAATGACTTGTACTCACTGCAATAATTCATGTCATCATAATAACAATAATAATAGCAAATATTCTTACTGAACTTGGAAATGCATTCTGTGTTCTTACACTTTATATGAATCCATAGAAACCTCCAACAGCACTGCACAATGAGTGCTGTTTCCATGACAGCTTTATAGAAGAGGAAAGCAATACAGTAGTTAAATTTGTCTGATATTACTAAGCTATTTAGGGACAGAACCCAAATTCTTATGTTAAAAGCTCTCTTACTACAAGTCCAAATTAAGTTTCTATGGCTACAACTCTTTCATTGAACCAATGAGGACACTTAAAGTCCTCAACTCTAAAGTTCATGCTATCATTTAAGAAAATCTGTTTGACGAATATTGAAGCAGCAATAAGAATTTCCTGTTTGCTCTTCACTTAGATATTTGTATCTGTATTATATTCAATTATATCTATTTATAGAAAATATTTACATCAATATTTATTCCTGGTCACTCTGCCATGTAGAAGCTGGACAATTTTTATATCAAAATGAAGAAAAATAGGATATAAAACTATCAAATGCTATAAAGCATTAAAACACAAACATTACTCTCAATTTTGCATGAAACCCTAGATTCTGGCTTGAAATGATTATCATTCTACTGAACTCCTCCAACGGACACTGATGCTAATCTCATGCAAAGTTTCCATTCTAGAATACAGAATAGCTTCCCACAGCAAAATGAGAAAGAGAAAAAAAGTAAAAAGTTTAATGAAGACTGGATCTAAATGATGCATGATGTATTGTGAAACTGAGATTTCATAAAAGTTGTTTTTCTATTTTGCCTCTCTCAGTTGTCTCTACAGAGAAAGAGAAGTACAAAGAAAGCAGAAAGTAACAAGATTTGGAGGAACTTGGTTGGGGCTCCCACTCTTTGGAAACAACAGAAATGTCCCTCTTGAGCCCTCTTAGCCCAAGCAGTATATGGAACTCCAACTTTCTGGTGGCTTTCACCGGATGCTTGGAGATGATGTTTCCCAAACTTTAATATATACATTCATTGGTGGACAATTCTAGTGTCTTTTTCTCCTCCATTAGTTAGAACTCAATAGCCTTGAACATGGTCATAAAGATCTTCAGTTTTACAGGCCTATCATTCATTTTAATTGGGCAGTTATCTTCAGATGAAACTATAAAAAGCCCCTATGTGCAAGCACTGAGTCCCTCCCCCAGTAAGCTCTGTAGTGACACATTATATGACACCACCTCACAGCACTCACATAATCTCACATAGCCCTCATCCTACCTGTTTCAACATCCTTGGCCTTAAGTTGTTCTTCAGGAGGTCTTGATGGTGGCCACATAGATGGGGCTCGCCTGGGAAACTGCCCTTCTATGTAATCCAGTGAATGTGTGGGTTGACTAACTGCAGCCCAGGTATACAGTTGATCTTGCTATATTTAACAATAGAGAAAATATAAATGCTATTAATAACAAAATAAGCTTTGCCAGATAACATGACAAAATCGTTTCTATATAAATTATATAGATAAGAATACCCATACAAATTATTAAAATATCCTCCCATACTGCTCCATATTGATCCATAAGAAGAGCCATCCATCATTTCGTAAACACACTTGTCCCAACAACTTTTTTTAAGTAAAATCTAAATCTCTTTCTTTGGAAGTGATGTTATGTAGGGACTACAGAGAATTACAATATGGTTCCATATCTTAGCTATAGTAAATAATGCTGCAATAAACATAGTTGTGCTGGTAGCTTTAGTGTGGTCTTGTTTGTAAACATTGGGTAAATGCCCAAAAGTGGGATTGCTGGGTCATAGGGGAGTTCTATGTGAAGTCTTTTGAGGAGCCTCCATACTGCTTTCCAAAGTGGTTGAACAAGTTTACACTCCCACCAACAATGAAGTAAGGTTCTCTTCTGTCCACATGCCCTCCAGCATCTGTTGTTATTAGAGTTCTTGATTTTTGCCATTCTAACTGGGGTGAGGTGGTATCTTAATGTTGTTTTGATTTGCATTTCTTTTATGGCTAGGGAGGTTGAGCATTTCTTCATGTGTCTATTGGCCATCCTTCTTTCTTCTTCAGAGAAGTTTCTCTTTAAGTCTTTCGCCCACTTATTTATTGGGCAGTTTATTCTTTGAGGATTTGTTGTTGGGGGATTTAATTTTTTGAGTTCCAAGTATATTTTAGATATGAGACCCTTGTCCATTGTATGGCTAGTGAAGATCTTCTCCCAATCGGTAGGCTTTCTATTGATCTTGCTAGCTATGTCCTTTGCCATGCAGAAGCTCTGCAACTTCATGCAATCCCATTTGTCCAACCTTTCTTTGATTTGTTGTGTTTCTGGGTCTCTATTAAGAAAATTTCGGCCTGCGCCAAGGAGACCTAGGGTTTCTCCTATTCCATCCTCAGTAAATGAATGGATCAAGAAAATGTGGTATATATACACAATGGAATTCTATGCCTCTATCAGAAAGAATGACATTGCCCCGTTTGTTAGGAAATGGAAAGACTTGGAAAAAATTATATTAAGTGAAGGAAGCCAAGCCCAAAGAAACATAGGTCCCATGGTTTCCCGTATTTGCAATATCTAGTGTATGTATGAGTCAAGCAGAAAAGGTCAGATAAATTGATGTTAGGAAAATGAACCCTAAGATATGTATTTAATTTTTTCTTTCATGCGTTTGTTTCTAACACATTTATAAGATTATTTCTTTGTTACTTTGTATGTCCCTCCCCCACAGTATAACCTCTGCTTTCAATGTATTTGATGTCGGTATAATTTGTGGAGGGGAAGGGGAAAAACAAGTCGTTTAAATAAGGATACAGGTGGAACTGCTGCAACAATGAGAAGTACAAGTTGTCATGTCGAAAACGAACTTTACAACTTTGATGGTGGGGGGGGAGGATTGGATGGGGGGCCGGGGGGAGAATGAGAAGGGATGGGAAGGGGAAACAAAGGAGGAGGCTACAATGCTTGATAAGAAATGTACTCATTATCTTGCCCATGTAATTGTAACCCCTCTGTACAGTATTTTCACAATAAAATATAAATAAAATTTTTTAAAAAAGAATTACAATATGGGACAGTGTAGACACTGGGCAGACATACAAAAATTGTCTAGACAATTTGGCTACACTAATACTGCATTCTCTTGAATAGAAAAATCAATCCATTATTTTATAGCTGATCTTATGCCATTTTTCTAAGTAAGAACAGCAAACTTTCCAATTCATTGAAAATGAAATTCTCCCACAAATGTTAAAAGAGGGAATTCCCTGAACACCCTCCATTCATTTAAATATAATCTCTCTATTCCTCCCTATCCCTCTCTCTCCCTCTCTCTCTTTCTCTCTCTCTCTGTGTATGTTCAGACAGTGTCTCCTTATCTTACTTAGGCACGTCCTATACTCCTGGGCTTCAGTGGTCCTGACTGAGTTCTGTATTAGCTGAAACTACAGTCATACATCATCACACTCTGCTGATGTCCTTTTAAAAACAGTTAGGAAAATGAGAGGACAGTCTGTTACTATAGGGACACAAAAAGTTTTCTTGTCTTCTCAAACAAAAAAAAAAACAGGAGAAATTGACTTATCATGATTTGGAAATTATGTGGAAAAGAAAACATAGAAAAGTAAATGAGCCTGCCAAGAATAACAGAGTCATACAGGGTTCTTCTGACAAAGGCATTGTCAATTGCAGGCAAACAGCTGTGGACAGAATGAAAAGGCTCCTAAAAACACATGGTGCATAGAGACAGCTGCAGAGCTCACAGCACCACTGGGAGGCCTCAGAAAAGTGCTCATTAGGACTTCAGAAAGATGTCCCACTTTTAATCTATTGAGGATGCATGCCCTATATTTTCTTGATAACATTTTCCTAACAGCTTTTAGTAAACATCAACTCAGGCACCCCAGAGCATGCTCATGCTGCATAATAAATCTCCTGCCTCTGTCCTTCACCAATACTTCTTTCTATCACAGTGGGCCAAGTGGCAGGACATATTAGGGAGATGTAGGCCTATGGTCTAGACCTCCAGTTAAAACTTGATGCATGTATTTGATGTCTGTGTATATGACTAAACAAAATCACTATTAACATTTATCGGTTAATTATGTTAATATTTATCTTTTAATTACTAACAGTAGCAGAACCCTATAGAATGGTTTTGAGGTGGGGAGATAAGAAAAACAGTAACTAATCAGAACTATAACAGAATCCACTGGGTATATTTTCTAATATTGCAATGTGTTATGCAGCTGCAAGCATACTTTGCCGCCTTTTAGAAAATAATGTAACATAGATTTAAAAATAATTGTGTTGTCTTCACACATTTATTTCTACCAGAATCTTCACACCATTAACACTATCATATCATCTTTACATAGTTCTAGACAGAATACATAAATGTGACTGCACAAAGAATCTCTGATTCACTTTTAAATAGGAGAAGTTGAAATTGAGTGAGTATATACAAATGATAATTCAAAAGAGTGACATATGACATCAACAAGGCCCAATTCCAGGATGGATAGAAGTGTGGATCTATGAAGTGTTTAAGGATAACATAAAGATGTTTTCTTAATTGTGCTCCAAACAAGCACTACTATTGCTGCCAATAAGACTGGAAATTCAGCTGGGTGCTGGTGGCTCATGCCTATAATCCTAGCTACTCAAGAGGCTGAGATTTAAGGATCAGGATTCAAAGCCAGCCTGGGCAGGAAAAGTCTGTGAGACTCTTATTTCCAATAAACCACCAGAAAACTGGAAGTGGAACTATGGCTCAAGTGGTAGAGCACTCACCTTGAGCTGAAGAGCTGAGGGATAGTACTCAGGCCCATAGTTCAAGCCCCACGACCCCCCACCCCAAAAAAAAGACTGGAAATTCATACAAATATTTGAGAGAGAAATTTACAATCAAAAGAATTAAAAAATAGATATATATTTATATTAACTACAATATTAATAGAAGGTTTCCCTGAGGGAAGATAAATCATTGTTATGTGAAAATATTCACATACTCCAATATATTTATTCAAATATTACTTACATTTAAAAAATCGTGCTATGAATTTAATATGTAGAGTATAAGAAAGTAATGGAGTGAGCAAAATTCATTAAAATAATGTCTCAGAGGCAGAACAAGTTGACAAGATCTTACTGAGATATTCTCCCCAGAGACACACCAATTTATAAAAGGTTTTCACACAAACACAAAAAGAGAGAACTAAAGGCTATTATCCTTACTGAACATAGGTGCAAAAGCTCTCAACAATATATTAAAAGGATAATACATTATGATGAAGTAGAACTTTATCCTTGGGATGCAAATGTGTCAACATATGCACAACAATAAATTTGAAAAAGCATACCCACAGGATGAAGGGAAAAATCCATTGTCATCTCATTACATGCAGAAAAATGTCATTGGCAAAGTTCAATGTACTTTCAAGTTAAAATACACAAAAAAGTAAGTATAGAAGAACTGCACCTCATCCTAATAATTGCCATATATAATAAACTTACAGGTAACATAGTTCCTGATATCTGAAACCGTTTCCTTTAAGATGTAAATGTAGAAGAAGACAAGGATGCTCACTCCCACTGCTTATCTTAAAAACAGTGTTGGAAATTCTTGTTAGAGTAATTAAATAAAAGAAAGAAAAGTAAGTATCCAAACAAGAAAGGAAGAAGTAGAGTTATAACTAATTACTGATGACATGGTTTTATATACAGAAAACACAAAAGATTTCACCAAAAGAAAGGAACCAAAAAATAAGTAATGTTCAGGCTAGATAACTAACACACAAATATCAGTTGTATTTCTATACATTAAAAAATAACTTTCTGAAAAAAGGTATCAGGAATAACCTTATTTATAAAATAAATGAATGGCTTAGGAATAAATTTAACTAAGAAAGTATTTTTTTCTTTTTTTTTTGGTCAGTTGTGAGGCATGAAATCTAGGCCTGGGTGCTATCCCTCAGCTCTTCAGCTCAAGGCTAGCACTCAACCACTTGAACCACAGCGCCACTTCCAGCTTTTTCTGCTTATGTGGTGCTGAGGAATCGAATCCAGGGCCTCATGTATGCAAGGCAAGCACTCTACCACCGAGCCATCTTCCCAGCCCAGAAAGTGAAATATATCTACAATAAAAGCTATTAAACATTGAGGAAATAAATCGAAAAAGGCATGAAGGAAGTAGGAAGACATCCCATGTTCATAGATTAGAAAAATCACTACCAATAAAATATATATACTTCCCAAAGCAATCTACAGATTCAACTGAAGCCTGATCAAGATATATATGCTATTTTTAAAGAGACAGAAAAACAAATTTAACTGTGTGTTAAATAACAAAAACATCCAAATACCTAAAATAATCTTACGCAAAAAACCCAAAGAAATTGTTACTCTATCTGACTTC